CCAACACGAATCTGTATATAACACAGTGCACATTTATATATATCAGAGAAGACACTGGCAGGAAACAAAGGGCACACTCAAACCGGTTAATCTGATGGCTATCGTTCCAAGGACTTTACAAAGGAGTGGGGAGAACTTAGGGTCAACAAGGGATAGTATAGAACTCCAGAGCTGGTCATCTTAAGAAGCTGTGGCCAGCCTGAATTTTAAAGGGGCAAGGGAGGTGAGTGATTATTAAAACCCAGACAGGGTCATCATACAGAGACAGACCTAAGAGAAGTAATGGCCTTGGACAGAGGGCAATATAGACACCTCTACAGGCGACTCTACAGAGAAAAACCAAGGCAACAGATACCCCAAACTCATTCTCCCACTACAAAATAATCTTCCAGTCTCCTTTCACTGCTTGCTCCAATCAGAAGGCAGACAGCAAGAAGGGAGTGTCAATATTCATAAAGTCAGGTTTCCAGGGCAGGGAACAAGGCAAGGATGGGAGTAGGGGGTTCTGAAGAGCCACCAGCCCTTTGGTCTTCATCTACCTTACATTTCTTCTCCTGTTTATCTTCCTTCTCTTTTTCAGTGACCAAAAGAGATGTCTAGAAACGACTGAATTATAATCTCTAAATCATCAAAATCATCCTATAATCTGGTATAAAAGAAGTTCTCCCCAAATCTGAGCCATAGGTTATATCTGTATTTGGCAAAATAAACAAAGTCTTGAAATTATTATCACTGATTTAAATGTAACCCTAGCCTTCAGGTGAGCTAATAAGCTACACAACTTTCCTTCGATCTGCATAATAAGAAAACCCTCTCTGTTGTGCAACCAATTTTTGAGAGGAAGCGAACACTTCCAACACCCACAGTTTAAACTGTAGAGATCTGCAAAAGAACCATAGATGAAATCAGGTTCCAGTGAGAGTTTCTTAAATTGTTTCCTACTGTATTCCATAAAATGGATATTACTAGCATTTCAAATAAAAATAATTATTCTACACATTCCAAGTTTCCATTTACATGATGTCCAAGAATAGATGAAACTTACCAATAATGACACAAGTCAGAATAGCAACTACCTTCTGATGAGCAGAAGCAGGCTGAGGCTGGGAACACACATGAAGGAAACCTGCTGGGTGCTGCTGGAAATGTTCTGGAACTGTCTTGTTTTATTTGGTACATGTTTACACACATATCAAGAATCATTGGGTTAAAAAATTTAGGTGAGTTCATTTTAAACACTCAGTATTTGTTTAGATATGCCTCAACTTAAAAGAAATAATTATTCTATTAAAATGATTTTCATAATGACCTCTTTAGCACATATCCTAACAAAAGAGATTTAAATTTATGCATTTACCAGGAGTCAGCAATTTTTATCCATACATTGCCATTCAACTCTTTTTTTAACTACAACAGCCACTGGCTCTTTTTGCATTATAGCTGTAGCATTCAATAGCTGCCACAAGAGACCTTAGGAAGCACAACAACTAAGATATTTATTCTCTGATCCTTTACAAAAAAGTTTGCCAAACTCAAATTTAAGTTTCAAGTGACGTATCTAAATTGTCCCTTTTGTAGGATAATTAAGATCAACCTCACATGAATACAAAGTAACAAGAGGAAGATCAATGAGACACCTTAATAAAGTGCTTAGTTAACAGTGGCCATGAATCTCACCACACTCTAACATAGGGGCGCAGTACCCTTTTGCTTGACTTGCACTATGGGTTTAAGACCCTGATCACAAGTTAGCATGCTAAGTTTTATACAATGTTCATTTTTTAAAATCTGCCAACATTTCAAAAGTAGGAGTGTGCACTTTTTAAAAATCCAAAATTTTACCTTCTCATTAAAAAGAAAACAAAAATCTAACAATATTAGAACCATATTCCTATAAGGTGACATATAAACAGGAACAGAGAAGCTCAGCATCAACTGACACTTAGCATTGAACTTGCACAGTCCATGTTCTTCTAGCAGAGTTGAATGAGAAATACAATATTGCTTCTATATGTGCCTACACAAAAAGAGAAAAACAAAAACTAGGCAGAGGTCCAGGGGCTTCTTAACACTCAGCTCCCTTGCTGCCTGATTGGCTATTGTGGGCACTGAGTTACAAGCACAGGCTTAAGCACCAGCCTCCAGGGAAAATGGCAGAGAAGAATCAAGAGAGTTCTAAGAGCCAGAAGGTTCAAAAGAGCCAACAATTAATTCAATGCTTGCAAACATCCAGTGGCAGAGATCTCCCTATCTTCTACGCAGCCCTACTCCCACTGTGGGGCAATTCTGCCTGTTAAAAATCTTCTTCATACTACTGTTGCAACTTCTGTGAGTCTACAATTATTTCAAAACAAAGTTTTTTTTAAAGCTTTTTATACTAAGTAAACATCTGTCTTTGTATAACTTAATTGGTTGTTAGCTGTAAGGAGAAGCTTAATCCTCTTCTACAAGATGATTATCATGAATCTCTGTAAGAGATTTTTCACCAAGTCTCCTTCCTCAAGTACTAGAAAATGAACAAGACGATCAACTCTCTTGTTCTACAGTTCTCATTCAATCAGCAAATATTTTTTGAGTGCCCATTATTAATCGGGTACTGTTCTAGACTCAGGTTATCATGTAAACCTGTGGAATCTACAGCATAAGCTACTATTAGCCTTTTTGGTGGCCATATCATACTACTAATTTACTGTACTAACTTTAGTCCACTAAACTCCCAGTTTTTTCTTATATTCACTACTTAAACTGTATTCTTAAACAAATGGATTATTGAATCCAAATTTTTAGAATCCACCGTTCTCTCCAATCTGTCAAGAAATTTCTGGAATATTAATTTCTTTTGCACCTAACACACTCCCTATATCTTCTAATTTTTTGTTGTCAGCAAATCTGATAAATCTACCCCTCTATACAGTAATCCAACTCAGTCATAACAATGCTTAACTGTATTAAGGTTTCCAAGAACTCTGTGACATGTTACCAGCATGTGCCCAAGGAGACATGGATCTACTATTTAGTGTTCCAGACTTACCTCACTCAACAAGCTATCAGTCCACTTGACTGTGTCATCCACGAGAATATTACTGGGTCTACATTATGCTATGCTAAATTTCAGATACAGTGTGCTCACCAACTATCCCCCAATCACCTTGGGGAAAAAAGATTCTTAAAAATATTTTATATATGTCTTAAAAAAAAAAAAAAAAGAAGCAAGCTGTAACAGTTTTATTTCAGTGCCAAAGTAACTAAGGTAAAACACTTCACCCTGTCTTCCATCATACATGAAAATCATAAGGTTTTATTTTATTCAAGAGGTGTCTTCAATACAAATACCTAAGAACATTAATTTAAAAAGAAAAAAATGGCAGGACAGATTCCAAAATAAAACAGAAATATTCTTAAATGCTAGGGATATTTTTAAAATGAAAATTATACCACTGGATACAAAAAGAAATGCTGTCCTTAAAAAAATTATCTAATTACATAAACATTTACACACTATAGCTCTAACCACAGTCCAGATGAACACAATTAGCAAATTCAATCCTTGAAACTGTATTCTATTGTTAAAACCAAAAAACTTCTTTTTCAACTAAAAGATTTTGCCTTTAATCCAGTCATTGGTGGTTATTAAGAAATGGAAATGTGCTTGAATTTGCACAAGTATAGTTGAACTTTATAAAGTCTACAATTCACATTCAAGAGTTAGGTTGAAATCATTTTTTAAAATGCTAATATATGTGAATAAGGCATAAAGCATGACATACAAATTAAATTTCAGCACTTGGAACTGAAATACAAACAATAAGCTAATTCATGAATATGGTAATAACCTCTCTGGCACAAAATCTGAAAGCATTTTATGCATTTTAAGTGAATTTTAAATTTTAAGTTAATTCCACAGTATTAACTTCAAGTTTTAGAATTTCCATTCACACAAGTCATTATACTGACACAATCTGCAATTTATGACAATTTGGCAAAGCTAAATTGATTTTTTTCCCTAAAGAGAAAAGTTTAGCCGAACAACAAAGCAAACAAGTTTATATGAAGCATGTATAACTTTAAAATAAATCTTGTCACACAATTAGGGAAGCATCATTCTATGCTACTTAAAAATGATTCTATGCATTAAAGCCAAGTCCATATTCTCCATATCACTTCAATCTAGTAGATAATAAATCCACTTTAAAAGAAACAAAGCGGGATTTATTATAAAATACTCTAAATTTGTTGCTCTTTATTAAATTCCTAAATTTATCTGATGAACTCATTTAACTTGCTTATATAACTTAAACTTATAAAAAAAAGCTACCTGCAATAATTAGATATCAGTGATAAGGTAATTAAAACAGACACTTCACCCTGTCTTCCATAATATATGCAGGTTTTCAATTTATTTAGTGAAGGTGAAGGCCTTTACCACTAGTGGTTGTCAGGAGTGAACTTCTATCCTGCTGTGCTATGTGTCCTATTTAGTACACAGCAATCCTCCCTCATCTGCAGTGTTGCTTTCTGCAGTTTCAGCTACCCACAGTCAACCTGGATCATCATGGCTTGAGATTATCCTGAAATATTGTCAGAAGGTCAACAGTAGCCTATTGCTGAGTCACAATGCTTACATCATCCACCTCACTTCATCTTACCACGTAGGCATGTCACCTCTCACATCATCGGGAAGAAGAATGAGCCCAGTAAAATATTTTGAGAGAGACAGAGAGGGACCACATTCATGTAACTTTCATTACAGCATGTTATCAATTGTTCCATTTTATTATTATTGTTAATTTCTACTCTGCCTAATTTATAGATCAAATTTTATTAGATGTGTGTGTGTGTGTAGCAAAAAAACCTAGTAAACACAGGTTTCGATACTACATGAGATTTCAGGTAACCAATGGGGATCTTGGAAAGTATCGCCATACTACTCCAAATTTTTTTCTTGCTCTTTAAGACTTTTAAATTTGAGGAATTAAAGAATGTTACAGAATCCAGCTTACCTGAATATATTTCCGCTGAGTTTCGTCATTTAAAACATGTGCAACATGCTTAGAAAAAATCTTTTCCCTGCCAGTTCTGGCATGGATACCAACCATAGTGACACCAATAGGCCAGGGAGCATTTCCAATGGCCATCTGAAGGTAAGCATCATTTGCCTGAAAGGAAGTTTAAGATATCAGAAAGGCAGAAATATTGTATTGGTTCAAATTTTTTTAATATTTTTTTATTTATATATAACAGTGGAATGCATTACAATTCTTACAACATTAGAGCACATTTTTTCATATCTCTGGTTGTATACAAAGTATATTCACACCAATCCGTGTCTCATACATGTATTTTGGATAATGATGTCCATCACATTCCACCATCATTTCTAACCCCATGCCCCCTCCCTTCCCCTCCAACCTTTGCCCTATCTAGCGTTCGTCTATTCCTCCCATGCTCCCTCTCCCTACTCCACTATGAATCAGCCTCCTTATATCAGAGAAAACATTCGACATTTGGTTTTTTGGATTCACTTAGCATTATCTTCTCTAACTCCATCCATTTACCTGCAAATGCCATGATTTTATTCTCTTTTATTCCAAATTCTTATTTCAAGTATTTCACAGCCTTTTATGACTAATTCTCAGCCAGCCCTGAGACATGTCGAAAATAATATGCTCCTCTTTTTCCTCTCGTCCAAGTATAAAAGATTAAAATATGGTGTGAGTGCCTGCCCTGCCCAGGACCACAAATGCTCATGAAAAAACAGAAGTCAAAGATAAGGTTGTAAAAAAACAAAACAAAAACGGTGGGGCATGGTGGCACAGCCTGGAATCTCTGCAACTTAGAAGGCTGAGGCAGGAGAATTCCAAGTTCAAGACCTCAGCAAATTACCAAAATAAAAAACAGAAAGGGGTGGGGATGTAGTTCCATGGTAGAATACTCCTGAGTTCCATCCCTGGTACCTTTTAAAAAAAGAAAATAACAAACACTCCTTTGCAGCCTTTTGGCAGTGGAATTTAATACATTTCATATCTGGAATTAGCAGGTAGCTAATTTGATGCACTGACAGAAACTCTAGGTTGTGTCTTAGACCTACTTCTCTACACTGATGGATAAAACTTAATCCTTGTCCCACCTGAAATCACATCTAATCACTTCACAGCATTCATTATACATTGTCAGAAGGGGGAGGGGTGTTCCATATGGTGGGATGACTACTCAGGGTCCATAACTCTGTGTAAACAGAGTCTGAATTCTGGCCCTCAAGTCAAAGAGCTGAAAGAAAAGACTGGTTCATCTCTTTGGCCTCCCAAATCTCCCACCTACCAAGAACCTTAAAATAAAAGCTATAAAAAGTGAAGCCAGAAACCAATGCAAATGGCTCTTTTTTAAAAATCAAGCCAAAAGCAAATAAATTCTAAAAACCCCTGAGGATTTCTAAGTAGGCCTCAAAGAGATTTTAATTTCAAAAATCAAATATCTATGTAATTGATATGTAGAGTTGAGTTTTAAAAAATTAAATACTATAAGATAGGTTAACTAAAAACCATAAAGATAAATCCAAACTTGCTTTGCTAAACAGATTTTATAAAACTTAATTTTAATGGCACATATGCATATATTTATCACTGATACTCATGTGTAAATTTAACACTGGACCTTAATCGATGATAATTCCAATACTCAGTTTCCCTAAAGTTACAAAAAAAACTGTCCAAATACATTATTAAAATTTCTTGATTCTTTCTTTAGTTTAAATAAACAAGTTTTCACCTGGTTCTGATATATAATCATGAGAAAAAAATAACAAGAGAAAAGGCATCATTCAGCAAGCTGGTGATGTGAATACTTTCTGCAGTAATGTTGACCTTATCAATCCATTCCAATTAAATCATTCTTATTAGGAATCATGCAATTGCTATAAACTAAGAATGAAATTTCTAACCACAACACACAAAAAGTTTTCTTTTGAGAGTACTGGCTCTTTTAAGGAATGAAATTACCACATTACTCTTATTAGTCTAAATCTCTAAAAAAGAAAATCATCCAATTACCCAGGAATGCCAGCAGTCCCCTCTTTCCTTTTCCAGTTCTCTGGTATTACTACTGGGATTGCTCCTCTACCCCTAGTCTCCTAGGAGGCAGTGACCAGAAGCAGCCCTCCTTACACCTGTCACATCTCCAATACACAGTACAAATGCACAGGGCCTTTCTCTCCTTGTTGCCTTCTTGCAACTGACTGCTCTCCACTTTCCCCTTCTAATTCCCTCACAGGAGTCCCTCACACCAGAGTGCTTTCCTGCAAACCACCTCCTCCCAGAGTCCATTCAGGAGTAAAGACACTGCAGTGAAGGAGGACAGCCTTCCTCTGCAAGAGGTTGGCTGTTGTTGCACTATTGAAATGAGAGAGAGGAATCCTGACAGCTTTTTCTGGACCATTTCCCCATAGAAATAATTACAAAGAGTAGTTAAATTCCATTGTATCATCAGTACAATAGTTCAGCTACATTACAGATTAAATGGGCCTTTATAGCTAGTCTGGGAAACTAATCTATAAAACATTGTTTCTATGGAAAAAAAAATTGTTCCAAACCACAATTGACCATTTATAAACCTTGAAATACAATCTCATTCATTAAATAAACACTGCCTATACAAAACTCATGCTCCGCAGAACCTTTCAATCTACTTTAACAATGACTGAGAATATACATTTTGTGGCCTGTGGTTTATTTGATGTCTAACAATAATGCTGGGAAAACAAAACTTTTCTTACTACTAGCTCACTTCACATTTATTCTAAACCATACTATGCAAAATCCCCCCATCCCAAATGAACATTATGTACATAACCTAAATATATTCATAATAATTTCAATGGATAGCATAACATACCTTTACATATTCCCTCTGCAACATGAATTTAATAATATCTGTTATCGATTCTTTAATGTCAGCAGGAAGATTCTGGAAAAGAAAAAAGCATAACTAATTTTAGCAGCTACTATTTAGTGAAAAACAAGTAATAATTATTCTAAATCTCTATCTTCTAATTTTCAAAGTCAGTTAATAAAAGCATTTCCCGAGAAAACCTTACCCTTTTCCGGAGCTTTCTGAAAAGTGGTCTGAGATAGGACTCAGTCTGCTTCTGAGTAGCACTGTTCAGTTTACCCTGCACACTGCGTTTCACATAATCTTCTCTGGCATTCAATTCCTTAGCCCAAACACCAAGAAGAAACTGTTGAAAGAAGGAGTAAATTGAGACTACAATGCCATCTAGTGGTTTAATGAGTTTAAAAGCACTATAACACAAAAAAACAGTACATTTTCATTCTTAAAGTAAATGCCTTGGTTAGTTAAAATATTATCAAATAAAGTTTAACTATTTCTGCTTATTTTGTCATGTTTCTTTCAAAGTATTATCTTTAGTGAGTCACAGACATTCCTAATCTATGTATCCTAGCTCAAGATAACCCATTTGCTTAAAAAAAAAACAAACAAATTTCTTAGCCAGGCACAGTGGCATATGCCTATAATCCCAGTGGCTCCAGAGGCTGAGGCAGAAGGATCCAGAGTTTAAAGCCAGTCTCAATAAAAGGAGGCACTAAGCAACTCAGTGAGACCCTGTTTCTAAATAAAACACAAAAAAGAGATGGGGATGTGGCTCAGTGGCTGAGTGCCCCTGAATTCAATCCAGTACAAAACCAAAAAAAAATTCTTAGTTAATTATTTGAATAAACTTTTACTTTATTTGCAAAAATTGTACCTATTACATAAAATTTGACCAAGTTAGATTAATCATCCATAAGACCATATGCACTATGATACTTAGTCTCCCAAGTATGCTGTATTATTTGAACTACTTATGCAGTTCAGACAATAAATCAATTAAAAAAAAAAAAGTCCCACTAAAGCACCTGACTAAAGAAGGAAGAAAAAAAAGAAATGAAAATAAAGCAGACTGTGACCCATCCCTCCCACTTCTTGCCTCCACCCCCAGAAACAAACCTAGTCCCCTCTGGGTTTGACCGTATACATGGTACTCCTTCCAAGGCAACGTGAAGGCTGAGAGGGACATACTCCTTTATGCACACCTACAAAGGAGAGGCCATCACTCCAAAATAAAAGACTTGTTCATACTAGTTCCATGCCCTATTCTCCATATATTTTAGAATCTTTATGACCAAAATAATATATTTAAAATGGAAATACAAGTAAAATCATTCTTTATACTTAAATCTCAGACTGAACAGCTTGTGAATAAACATTAAAAACAACTAGGCTTAACCAGAGATAGAAACACCTATAATAAAGATAGAATTAGGGGGCTGGAGCTGTAGCTCAGTGGAACAGCATTTGCCTGCAACACATAAGGCACTGGGTTCGATCCCCAGCACCACATAAAAATAAATAAATATCCATCTACAATTTTAAAAAAATTATTTAAAAAAGACAGAATTAGCAAATCAAATAAAAAATAGGCAATTGGGGGCTGGGGTTGTGGATCAGAGGTAGAGTGCTCGTCTAGCATGTGAGAGGCACTGGGTTCTATCCTCAGCACCACATAAAAAAATAAAATAAAGGTATTTCCACCTACAATTAAAAAAAATTTAATTTAAATAAATAATAGGCAACTGTATGTACAAGTGAAGAAATGAACACTCTGGAAGGTGACAGATATGTTTACTTTCTGTATTGCCAATATCTTTCCACTTCCTTCCTTTCCTTACTTTCACAGATATCTCATAAAAGCTTCTGGAATCCAGCCATTGCACTCCTTCCTAGGCGTTAATAAAAAATAAGCAATTCCTCCGAATTTCTTGTTCATTCTATTGTTGGGATTCTTTTGTGTATGTTTATATGAATTAGTCAACTTTTGAGAAAAGTGTCACAAAGAAAGTAAATATACTTTTTCTTTCATTAACCACTATATACAAGTGCAAAGTGATGTCATAAACATAGCACAAGCACTCATGTTTTTTGAGAATGTCCCTATCTAGCCTTTAACCCTTGATACTCAAAAAATAGAAGAATAGTTTTTAAGCATTCAGAATGCCTCTTTCCCTCGCCTTTGATACATACTTTCAGGAACTTGGTGATGATGTCCATGTCCTTATGATCATCGCCTTTCCCTAAAGACTCCCCCAGTGTCTAAAGAAAAAGAAATGATACTTCTGTTAATAAACAGAGAACAAACTGCATGGATGTATTCAAATGTGGTGTGTGTATATGTGACCAACACCATATTATTCAATGCTCTTTATCACATATTGTGTAATTTTTATTTAAAAATCTATTGGAATTTCCAGTTAAAAAAAAAAAAAAAGCCCAAAACTCTGATTTGCCATTTCTACAGAGAAATTGTAATATCTTTTATAATTCCAAAGAGAGGTGGCGAGAAAAAAGAATCAGAGCCACATGTGGTGGTGCACGCCAGTAATCCCATTGGCTCAGGAGGCTGAGGCAGGAGGATCACCATTGGCTCAGGAGGCTAAGGCAGGAGGATCACGGGTTCAAAGCCAGACTCAACAACTTAGCGAGGCCCTAAGCAACTCAATGAGACCCTATCTCTAAATAAAATACAAAAAAGGGCTGGGGATGTGATGGCTCAGAGGTTAAGTGCCCCTGAGTTCAATCCCCAGTACCAAAACGAAAAGACAACGAGGTAAGTACAATGACTCCTAATAGATATGAGATTTCTTCGGGGAGAAACAAAAGTGTTCTAATACATAGTGATAACAGTTGTACCACCCAGTGAATATATTAAAATCCACTAAATTATATACTTTAAATGAGTACATCATATAGTATGTGAATATCTCAATAAAGCTTTCTTCAAAAAAGAAAGAAAGATAAAGAAGGCAGGTGGGAGGAAAGGAGGAACAAGTGAGTCCAACTGACAAACGGTTGCCCATACCAATTATTTTAGTAAAATTTAGGGACCTTCATAGGTGATGGGGAAGAAGTGATTAAAATGACACATCATCCTCAACAACAATCTTTACCCTTAGAGACCACTACAGGTACAAGAACCAGAAACAAAGGAAACAAAAAAATAACAGTTTGTATCTTATTAAGCATTAAAAAAATTGTAAGCTAAGCCATGTTTTTTACATGCTGTTTTAGTACACAGTGGTATACTAAAGAGTACTTATCACAAAGTTGTTTGTGATTAATAAGGAGCTGGGAACAATCCAGCTATCCACAATTATAAGGGAAAATATTGCCATAATATGCAGCAATTAAAAGCAAAGGTCTAAATGTACTTAAAGCATCAAGGATGAATCTCAAAAACAGCATGAAGTAAAAAAAATAAAAGTAAAAAAATAAAATAAGACTATCACTACATAATATTACTTATAAAAATAAAAATTATATGGAAATGTTGTCAGATACCTGTAATCCCAACTACTAAGGTGGCTAAGGCAGGAGGATCACAAGTTCAAGGCTAGCCTAGGCAACTTAGTGAAACTGTCTCAAAATAAAAATTTTAAAAGGCCTGGGGTCTGGGCACAGCCAGCCTTAGCAACTTATCTAGGTCCTAAGCAACTCAGTGAGACCCTATCTCTTAAAAACAAAAAACAAACAAACAAAAAACAACTGGGGATATGGCTCAGTGGCTAAGTCTATCTGGGTTCAATTCCCAGTACCAAAAAAAAAAAAAAAAAAAAGGCCTGGGGGTCAACCCCCCAAAAATATGTATGCGTGCATACATGTGCATGTGTACACATAGTACACTGCAGATTTTACAAGAACACAAACAAATGCAAGGATCATATCAAACATATTATAATGACTAATGTTTGAGGTTAGGAAGTAGAGGAATGTGAATAAAGAATGAGCAAAAGAGGAATAAATGAATAAAAGCATGAAATAAAAGAAGGGCCTTTGCACTGACCCAAGATGGTAGTAGCTTTTCAGTAAACACTCTGATCAACTTAGCCATCCGCTCCAGAGGAAAAGTGGGTAATGGGGAAGGAGTTGGGCTGGGAGTGGAGACTACCTCTAACTCTTCAATTGTTGTGTTTTCTTCATGAACTTTCAGATCATTTTGTGTATCTTCCTCTCCAGGTTCTTGACCACCCACAATTTCATTGAGGTACTGTTGATCAATCTTATCCAAAGCTGCTTTCAGATCATTCCTCAAGCCCTAAGAAGAGGAAAAAGGGAGCTGGGGTTATAGCTCAGTAGTAGAGCGCTTGTCTAGCATGTTTGAGGATTTGATTCTCAGCACCACATATAAATAAATATAAATAAAGATCCATCAACAACTAAAATATATACATATGTTTTTATTAAAATATATATTTATTAAAATATATATATGACAAAAAAATTTTTAAAGAGGAGAAAAGAAGTACACCTATTATGAAATTTCACTAATGTTTCACCTTCGATTTTACAGTAATAAGAAGTACATTTCATTTTTCTCCCTACAAGGAGTTAAGAATTTGGTAAAACTAGTATGCATAATATTAGCATTATTCTCCAAAGTTAATTGTTACAAACATATTTAAAGGAATGTTTGCACAATGGCCAAACTGGTGGTTGGAAAAATAAAACAGACATGAGCAACAAATTCAAATAAGAATCTTCATAAATGCTGTAATTTTATAACAAGGCTTAGTAAAAATGACCAGATCTTCATTAGGGTCCCCATCATTCATTTAAAACATCCAACTTCACTGCAACTACTCTGAACTCCTCAAATATTTAGAATAAACCTGGCATCTCATCTATATGCCAGGTTCTCAACTTCATTTCTAGCAAACTGGCAAATTCCATATTACACGCATATTCACTGTATGACTATTTAATAAAAAATGGAATCCTCAGTTTCCTCAACATGAATGAAAATCAGCCATGAGGTGTAAAAGCCACAGTTGTGAAGTCTATCAAGCTTCAAATCTTTGTAGCTTACTACTCTTAGACAACTTACTTTACCCATGTATGCCTCAGTTGTTGTACCTATAAAATGAGAACAATACCATCTACTATGTAGAGCTGTCATGAGAAGTATTTTTTGTTTTATTTAACATTTACTATATACTAGAACTGTTCCAAAAGCCTTGCAAATATCAAGTTATATAAATAGGCAAATTAATGTACACTGCACTTTCAACAGTCACTGGAGCACAGTAAGCATCCAACAAATATTAGCTTTTGTTTATCACAAGCAACTTAATCATTTTCTACTGCTCTTTCATAAACATAGAAGAGAAATATTCAACTTAAAACTTTTAATTTACCAAATATCAAGTACTTGCTATGTACAATGCATAAGACCAGTACCCAACGAATATCTCCTTGAATTCTCACTACATCCTTGTAAAGCAGATATCACTACCTTTATTTATAAATAAGGACTCTAGGGTTCAAGTAAATTAAATACTAGTCAGTGGCCCAATAATTAATAATTACAAATCAGGAATGGAATCCAGAGTTTTTGTTCCTATGCTCTTTCCTTAAAAACCACATATGCAAGACACTAGACTTGGCAAACAAAATTAAACCAGGAAAAGATAAATACATACAACAATCTAATATTAGTGAAACGCACTAACAGAAGTTTATTACAGGAGCATAGAGAGGGAAGCTATTAATTCTGACTGAGGCCATGGACAGGTTAGGAGAAGAGATATAATCTTTGAATTTTGTTTGAAAAAACAAAAGGTTTCAACCAAGGCATATAAGAGAGAAACAAAAGGCACAAGAAAAATGATCATTATAGACACAGAGATTGAAAGTGTTCAGGCAACTGTTTATGCCATGGGGCTAGAATGGCAATGTTGAAAAGTGAAGCAGGAAGGTGATTTGGCAATAAATAGGGAAAGCAGTCATGAAGCCCAAGCTAGCAAAAAGAAAACTACATGAAGAAAGAGATGCCCAGTTAGGCCTCAGCAATTCTCACCTTCCATCTGAGATGCCAGGCACATAAGGACTAGTCCAGAGGAGTCTTTAGATGATTTCAGATGACTTTTATCTAAAGCAATCACATGGAAGACCCCAAGCAAAAGACAACCTAGCCCAATCAAACCACAAAACTGTGAGATGATAAGTTATCTAAACTACCAGGTTTCTAAGTGACTTGTTATACTCACAGATAAACAAAAAGATTTTATATTAATAAATTCCTTTACATGACTAAGTTTGGGGATGGTCTGTTGTGCAGCCATAGATGACCATACCATCTTTCAGTAATTGATAGAGCAAGTTTGATAAAACATTATTGAGGCCACAAAGATATGAACAACACTATCATAATTGACACTTGTAGAAATATATAACGAAATAAAAACATAACTCTTTTCAAGAGCCCCTGGAATGGACCACATATTGAGCCATGAAACAAGATCAGAGCCTCCATCAAAATCTAAAACTATTAATCTTCCAGAAGAAAATACAAAAGAAGGAGACCTTGGGGTAGGCAAAGATTTCTTAAGCACAACATAAACAACAACCATAAAAGGAAAAGCTAATAAACTTCACTTCATTAAAATTTAAACTGCTCAGCAAAGACATCATTGAGAGATTAAGACAGATACAGACTAGGAGAAAATAGTCACAAAATTTATAAATATACAAATAACTCCCAAATTCAAAAGATAATCCAATTTAACAATGAATATGACTAATACTACAGAAAGTCTATGAAGGATGTCTATGAAAAAGTAGAGATTCATCATCTTAGTAAACAGGGAAATATGAATAATATCACAATAAGATACTACTAGATATACAAGAGAATGGTTAAAATTAAAAAGACTACCAATACCACAGGATGATATTTAGAAATGTCTGGCATTTCTTACTTAAGCATGTATCTATTTTTATTATTTAGCAATTCCATTTCCAGGTATTTGCCAAAGAGATAGAACATATTTACTCAAGAGAAAAAATAATAGGCCCAAATATGATACAGATATCAATGTTCACAGCAGTTTTATTTATTATAGCCCAAAGCTCAAAACGAACTGTAGTACATTTATATAACTGAATATCATTGGGCAATGGAAAGGAAATTAGTGAATTCTGCAATAGCACGGGAGAAGCTAAAAAATGTTACACTGAGCAAAAGAAACCATATATACACTGAGGTTAGCCATATGAGACACCAGAACAAGTCAAATAAATAAAGGTGACAGAATTCAAAAGGTGGCTTCCTGGGAGTGGAGGAGGGATATGGGGATTGGCTATGAAGGGGCACTGGGGAACTTTCTGAGGTGATAGAAATATTCTATATCTTGATAAGGGTAGGGTTATACACTTGTATTTGTCAAAATGCACTAAACTATATGCAAGTTACATACATTTTTACAAAAGTAAACAGCATCAGAAGCAAGGGTATTTTTCAATTTTTTACATATAGTAACACAATTAAGTCAAACTCCAAACTATTCTAGTCAGTGGTATTTTTCTAACTTTAATCTGACTTCTTACCTTATTAACTTCTGGTGTGAGGATCTCTATTTTTCTTAAACGTTGAAAAGCATCATAATCAGTTTCTCCAAATAGTCTAATTGGTTCTCCTCTTTCTCTTAACCTTCTGATAACCTATAGAAAAACAAAAGCCTAGTAATTCATTTTATTTGTGAAACGGGGGAAAAAACTCAAACAATTTCCATACTTTACCTTAAAATGAAACCAGTGTTTAATAAAATGAATTATCTAAGTACATATTTCTGAGTGAAAAATAAAATATTTTATTCACCTATCTACACTAAATAAAGATGTCGGTGAATGAAAGAGAAAATACCTTAGTTAAAAGTCTATTTTGACTCAATGTCATGGCTATATATTTTATTACTGAATAGCTCCTAGAAAGTGGTCTGACATATAAATCTATAATTCAAATCTAAAGCAAGCCCCAAATATAGACCTCTCATTTTTTCTGCAAGACACACACACTCCTTACTTATAAGAACTAAGAGAAGGGATACAGTTTTGGTCCTCAATTTACATAACTGTGACTCAGTCCTCTTTTTAAAAACATCAAAAGACAATACTAATCCCCTCTGCCAACACACATTTTAGGTAATCAAACATCTGTTTTGAAATGTAGATGTAAAAAGTAAGTTGTATTTGTTTTTCCTTAATCTTCCATGAACAGATATGCTGTGCTATCATCATACTTTGAACAACAGTCCTCTGCTGGCCTGCTGCAGGTAGGATAATCTGTGCAGTAAGACACACAGAAAAAACACTAAAGAGGGAAGAATGGCAGTTCTACAGAGAATAAAACTTGGAGTAAACAATGACTCCATAATCATAGCAAAGAGGATTCACCATAATACTATAGTAAAATTCAAAGAGAGAAAATGAGAGATGACTAGAAGGGGCACATGCAGGACTTTGGAAGTATAGATCCATACTTGATTTCATGACTTGGGTAATGTAATTATCCATTATATTACATCTATGTTTTATATACTCTTTGTGTACATTATGTTTCATTTAAAAAAGGAGAAAGAAAAATGTAATTAAGAAAATGAACTGATAAAAGAAAATGGATAATTGAAAAATTGATAAAAGAAAAAAAAAAAAAACACTGCCACCAAGAACTTAATCTGGGAACATAAACAGTAAAACACACCTAGAAACCACTAAAAGGACTTCCTTGTATTAACTGAGGTTTGGGATTAAAACAGAAATTTAAGAGGTCATCTAGTGCCAATCAATGCAGGGGGAAAAAAAAAAAAACCCTCAAAAATGTCCTTGTCAGATCCTTGAGAAGTAATAATCACATCTCTTCATGAAATATCCCACCCCAGGGCTGGGTTGTGGCTCAGTGGTACAGCGTTTGCCTACCATGTGTGAGGGTTTGATCTCAGCACCATAAATAAATAAATAAATAAATAAATAAATAAAGTGAAGGTCCATCGACATCTTAAAAAAAAGAAAGAAAGAAATATCCTACCCCAATTTCAGACTAGTATGCATTACTTTTCAAAACTGAAATCTGCATCCCTCAAGCTTCTTCCCATTGCCTAGTTCTATTTTAAGAAACCACAGAGAATATTCAATATTTTGCCAAAATTCAATGGATATTTTAAAAATATATTTACTAACTCTTCTCTTTAAGCTAACTATTCCAAATTCCTTTACCTATTTTCACATGGTGACTTCTACAGTCAGTCATCATTCCTATGAAGGTTTCCTTCTGTGTAACTCCACTATAATAATATGGAATAAGGAATAACAACCACAACTGCAAATGTATTGGCGAGAGGCACAATACCCACCCTCTGACCTATGTGCTTAATACTAATATTAAGCCCTACCCACAATCAGACACATCTAAAACATGGACAGACTGCTGAGGACTCACAAAGATTAAAGAAGATTGTCCAACTGTCTCAATCACAAATTTAAATAACCTAAATAGAAAAAAACAGAGAATTTGAGCTAGTTATTACTTTAAAACACTGTAAAGCTGAGGGCTATTAATAAACCAAGTTATGAGAATTATGCAGTATTTTTCTAAATATCAGTTTACATGGCTAATTCTCATCTGTCTGGGATTACATGACAGTGATTTTGCCTAAAGGAAAAAAGGTAATAAACTATCTGAATTCAAGATAGTGTGAGAATTCTATTATTCTAATTTTTTAAACTTGTATACAAAAAAAATTTTTGACACAGATACCAAAAGGGATATCAGCTACATGGGAGGTTAAGACAGGAGGATCTCAAGTTCAAAGCCAATTAGCAACATCCCTAAGCAACTTAGTGATACTGCGTCTCAAAATAAAAAATAAAAAAGGACTGGGGATGTAGCTCACCTGGACTTAACTTCCAGTATCCACCCCCAACACAAAAAAAGAAAGAAAAATAGGGAATTAGAAAGTCTCAGTAACTTGGCCAAAGTAAAAACTTTCATATACAGTGTGTACACACAAACACACACACATACACAGTCTTCAAAATATATTTTTAAGTGAAAAGAGCGAGGCACACAAGCATATAAATAATCTCACTTGTGTGAAAGGGAAGAAAAAGTATACACTTGCATACTGATGACTGTGTAAGTGAATGACTTTAGCAGGACTGAGAACAGATTAGAGGGGGGTATGGAAGATAGAAGACAGGAAGAAGAAAAGATATTTTTGTTTTATACCTTCTCTATAGTTGAATTCTTTAAATCACACAAATATCTCTATTTTGTAAGTAAAGTAATAGTTGCTATTGACCAGGATATGGGCAAACACTACAGGTAAGAATATAAATACTGGCATAACGCATCTAACATCTACAAAACCTTTTGGTAAACATGTATTTAAAAAAAAAATCTTAAAATAGAGTCTTTATGGGCTGGGGATGCGGCTCAAGCGGTAGCGCGCTCGCCTGGCATGGGTGCGGCCTGGGTTCAATCCTCAGCACCACATACAAACAAAGATGTTGTGTCCACCGAAAACTTAATAAATAAATATTAAAAATTCTCTCTCTCTCTCTCTCTTTAAAAAAAAAAAAAAATAGAGTCTTTGCCTCAGAAACAAATCATGCTTCCAGAAACTTTTCCAAAGGAAATAATCATACATTATTATGCTTGTAATGATGTCTGTAAAAGAATGTTCATCTCAGTATTATTTATAATAGGGAAATGCTGAAGCAATCTAAAATGACAATTAAGAAAGAATTGGTTTTAAAAATATTTCTGTGCAAGCACACAATGGGAAATTACATAGCCGTTAAAAATTGTAGAGATTACTGTATTTTAACATGGAAAGATGTACGATAAGTAAGGGCAGTTAGCAAATTAATAAAGTAATTTAGACAAAAAAATAATCTAAATATAATTATTTAGAAAACATGAATTCAATTATAACTTAACAATGTTTAATGTGTTTATCATTCAAAGTTTATGATATGCTCTTTAAAAAAAGTAAGAATACTATTAAGAAAAGAAGCAGAGGTTAATTTACAACCTAATGAAGAAAACTATCTTGTAAAGGACTTTTAGGTCAGTAGGTCATCTTATATGAGAAATAATGACACATAACTCATGTAAACATGTGGAAAAAATGTTCCCATAAAATACTCATATAAACTTACCTCTTGCCTAGAAAGAGTCATGGGTAATTTTTCCTCTGCCAATTCAAGTTCTAATACTGGATTTGATGAAGTTAGTGGTTTCTGGTCCTCCTCTTTTGGCTGTATCTATATTAAGAGCCAAAAGAGATGAAATTTAGTTTTTAAAACACAGCCAATATTTATAATTCCATCACCTTAGCTATTCTTGGACATTAAATAGTTTCAGTACTGAAGGTTTTCTAAGTGTTTTTCTGAAGAAAGAAGTCATAATAAATGTACATGCTTTTAAGAGCTTATCAAACAGATCCATGTCAGAAACACAAGTAGAAAGCATGCACACGGGAGACAGCATTCTTGATATAAAAAATTAACATAACCATAATGATTTGCAAAATCAAAACTCATGTTGCTAAAATTTACACTCTCCAAATTCTAAAACAAAAGTACTTTTTTCTTTTAAACAATCAATTTGCTTCGCCTTTGAGAAAAAAGTGTCCTACAGGGTTACCTGATTGTTGCTTAGCTTTAAAATGAAAACTAAAGAGAACTACTCTCCAACAGAAACTATGAAGCTTCAAGCTCTAGCTTTTTCCTATTTTTCCTTTTGAATGGTATTATTCCAACTGCAGAGAAATCACTATTGGACCTGTAGAAAAATTCCCAAGGTGATGCAGAACTGATCCACAAACTGAGCTAAATTCTTGTAGAAAAACAATGAAAAATGGCACTATTCTATACATGCCATCCAAGGAAAGAGTAACATTCTTGTTCATATGAACCTGAAGGTGAATGAGGTAGGAATCTCACATTTTTTTCAAATATAGTGCCCAAATCACTGAGAAAACTGAGTTAAGCAATTTAGAAGCCCCACTGTGTGGTCTGCTGAAACACAGTTTCCTATCTAACCAGAAGACAAATCTAAAACACTGACTGAAGGAAAATCTAAAATACTGAAAGGAGGAATAAGATTCAAAGGACCATAAAAGCAAATTAACATCAATTATTATTAATTATTAAAAAGAAACTCAATTTTAAAAAGCTCTAATGGTAAAAAATTATGTAATAGCTAGGCACAGTGGCACACACATATAATCCCAGTGGCTCGGGAGGCTGAGACAGGAGGATTTCGAGTTCAAAGCCAGCCTCAGCAATGGTGAGGCGCTAAACAACTCAGTGAGACCCTGTCTCTAAATAAAATACAATATAGAGCTGGTGCTGGGGCTCAATGATCAAGTGTCCCTGAGTTCAATCCCCAGTACCCCCCCCAAATTTTTTTTTAATTATGTAATAAATGACCTTGTAGTTTATGACTAAATGCTGGACTCATCCTAGTTGATACTGAGGTAAAAGACTGAACTTTCATATTTTCACAGGACAAATCAGGCCAAGCCTTAAAAAAATTGTAATTAGTTTTTATAAAGGGAAAAAAAAGCAATGGATACTATATTGTCACTACTACCAAGAAGGAGCTATTAAAAATATCCTCAAAAACAAAAACCTGTGATTTCTTCTTAAGCACATCAATAGGTGTTTTTCAAAACCCTCAGGACTAAAAGCTTTTTAAATTATATAATGGCCATTAATAGCTCTGGGGAAAAGAGCTAAGACATTTTGTCAGCTAGACTCAAAGTTACAACTAATATCTTTATAGTACTTATTTCACTTCAGCGCTTGCTTTCTTCTATGTAAGCAAAAAAGCCCTCCCACAAAATCTATGCAAAGCAAAAACTGCCACTTTCTTAATTTTTTTCCTACCTTATCAAGAAGTTGAAAAGTTCAAATTTAGAGATCTGGGAACTGAGAAATCATCTCTCTGAATTGGATACAACAATTATTTACATAGAACTTAATTTCCTAAACCAGAAGTAAATCAGTATCTTTATAGGAAATTATCAAGATGCAAATATAAGCTTTTATATGTAAAAAGCCTTTAAAAATATTAACTATATTTTTCTTTAATACATGCCCTTTCCAACCCTACAAAATAAAACCAAATGCATATACATAACATTTGCATTCCTCATGCTTCCTTCTGGAAAGGCTATGCCATATAAACTAATTTCTAGAACCTTCCCTATTACATGCACAAGAGTATTATTTTATATTAATGTTTCATGAGCAAAAAATTGATTTCAAATAGAATTTTGACAGAACCTCTTAATTGTGAGTTAAAATTATTAAACAAGATATAGAGTTAAAAAAAATAACTTAAACCTGACTTCTCCACCTCATAAGCATTAACCCCTCCCAATAAAACCCCCAGCACATTATCAACTGGTAATCTGAAAATAGTTTCAGTCATGCTTCCAAAACATACAAGTAAAGCCTTTCAGACAACTCATTTGTTTCTAAACAATATTTCAAAGTTACATTTTCTATTCAATAAACTAAACAATATCTGAAATGTTATAACTTATTACAATAAAAGCATATATATATATATATGGTGCTATATTTCAGGCAGAGTTACTAATGGCCCAAAAGGAATTATTAACAATACAATCATAATCAATGGCTGAAAATATGCGGGAGAAAGCAGGGGAAATGCCACTGCTAACATCACTGCTGCTGAAAGAATAAAATGAACTGGACTCTTCTGAGATACAGTTTTATTGGGAGAGGTGAGGGAGAGAAGTGGTGGTGGAGAGGAAAATAAGGCAGCATCAGATCCAGGACTTAATTTTTTAAAAAAGGTCAAGCTTTGATCTCAAGCCACTTCATGCTGTCCACAAAAAGCCAAACCATTCCGAGCCAAAAGTCATGCATATATTTTCCTAAATTCAAGAATTTTTTTTTTTTTAAAAAAAGCAAAACAAAAACAAAAACTCATACCTCTCCAGATGGCTTCTCACTTATAGGCTAATATGTAACATTGATAAATTGAACAGAGATCAATAATTTTGTCATTTAACAATAGCTATATAAATTTAAACGCAGAAATTTACAATTTAATTTAAAAGCTCACATTCATACCTTGTAGCCACATCTTTCAAAATATGCCTCCTCCTCTTTTTTCACAAGTTCACTGCGTCTGAAATATTTTTTATTTTCCTATCAAAGAAAAAAATAAGTTAATAATAAATCCTTGGCAAAATTTCATATTCCACAGTTATCAAATGCTTTTAGAAAACTTTAAAAAATATTCTTCAGTTGCTCAAGAATTTGAGAGTACTTTTTGGTTTTCAATATGAACACACTGAGTCCCTGAAGCATGCTACCTCTCCTACACATAGGTCTGGATATTGATATGTGATGAATATTTAAATTTTTCTTGCACTGTCATTTTAATAAGTGTGTACAACAGCATACAAATCAACAATACTTTCCAAATGTTCCGTTTTAAAATTTAAGTTCCTAAAATATTTTATAATATTTCCTAAAATATTACAAAATATTTCCTAAGATAAATATAAATTCAAAGATAGTGTCTAAAAATGGATTCATTATAAATCACATAAAATGAAAGATAATGTCTAAAAATGGATTCATTACAAATCACATAAAATGGTATGTCTTAATTATTTTCACTTAACAGAAACAAACACTAATTATGGCATATATATATACCCAACTTCTAAAATCTCACTAATAAGAAGGTTCCAAGAGAATGTCTAAATTTTTTGATACTAATAGATAAGCTCTAAATCTACTATGGCTAAAAAGATGTTAGTTCTTTATATATCCCATTGTGAAATCTGCAGCCTAATTTGTAATCTTACTACTATCTGCACCTCTGCCTCCTGGATCTTACTGCATTGATAACTTTGCTCAACTACAGATACTGTCCCATTTTATTAATAGTAATTATAACAGAATCTCAATAATACCTCTCCACATGTATTTAGCACCTCTAGTTTCAAAAGCTCATTAATTCAGGCAATTACCACCAGTAGATACTAAAATATTAAAATATTAAATATTATAATGGTGTCAATGGAAAGATCAGGCTGCCAATACTTGAGCCCATTGATCAAGCCTGGAATTTGTAAAAGATTATATACCTCTTTGTGATACCACAAGAAGTACTCAGCACCATCTATCAAATATGCTTTACCCTTACTGTAGGAGTAGAGAAGTAAACAAAATGGTAACAACAGTAATTAATCAAACAAATCTAGGACAGTGTACAAAATTAGTTCTCCTTTCTCCAACATGTCAATGGTGTTGAAGGGAGAGCAGCTGGAGGAATAAAAACATTCTTGATTAAAAGAAACCAATAGTCACAATAAATAAATTCAATTAGTCAAATTTGTGTGGATCTCTTTGGAACAAACCAACTGTTAAAAACATATATATGTATAATTTGACTGGGGATATGTTAATATGAATTTGATACAGCTTAAGGAAACTATTTTAATTTTGTTAGATGTAATAATATTTTGGTGATATAAAAATATGTCTAATTTTTAGAGTTACAGGTACTAGGGGAAGGGTATACAATTCTATTTTTGTGAATGTTTAAACAAAATAAAGTTTACAAGTTCATTCATTAACTCCATAAACACCAACACACTTACCTACCATATACCAAGCATACACCCTTCAGATACAAAGATGAAGATATTACTGTAGCAAGAAATTGATGACATCATCTAATTATCAAACTACCACGACAAAAATGTGAGCAAATGATATTAATCCCCTTTTACAGATAAGTAAGTTGAGAATTAGGAAAGGCTGTAACATTTCAAGAACTTAATAAATCTGATGAGTAACAGAGCCAGGACTAAGAACTCTGGTCCTTAAATCCTTTGTACTTAGTTTTCCTAGCTAATTAGTCACTCTCAAAATTCAGTATTTTAGATTATTCCTTTTAACTATGTAGTATGTAACTATTACATTTCAAATAGGTAAGCTGGCAAACACTTATTAGCATCCTTTCAGGAAGAGCTGATATATACAGGAAGTAAAAGGAATGCCAAGGCCAGAGCCCAAGTCCAATTATGTTACCTCTGACTACCATGTCTCCATTCCACTGAATACCCCTAACAAAAGCTTAGGACTAGAATGTCTCAAAATGTCATCCATAGACCCCTACCTGCTGCTTTTCAAATATTCTTGCACTTTGTCCAAGTTGTACTTTCTAGACTATAAAACTAAAGATTCACAAGTCTAAAGTGCACACACTTTCCTACCACATTACCTGAAATGTCTGTCTTCACTAAATAAGGTATTAAATATCAAAAATAATATGCAAACATGATTGTCAACATGAATTTAGAATTACCATTCCTCCAATTATGTTAAGATAGCGTTTATATAAATGGATACAAATATTAACAAAAGCTCTGTAAAAGCCAGATGCAGTGGTGCATACCTATAATCCCAGAGGCTTGGGAGGCTAAGGCAGGAGCCTCAGCAACTTAGCAAGGCCCTAAGCAACTCAGTGAGTCCCTGTCTCTAAATAAAATATAAAAAAGGGCTGAAGGGGCTGGGGTTGTAGCTCAGCAGTGGAGCGCTTGCCTAGCACGGGCGAGGCCCTGGATTCGATTCTCAGCACCACATAAAAATAAAGGCATTGTGTTGTGTCCATCTACATCTAAAAAATAAATTAAAAAAATAAAATAAATTTAAAAAATAGAGGTAGTGTGTCCAACTACAACTAAAAAAAGGGGGGGGGGGCGGCTGAGGCTGTGGCTCAGTAGTTAAGTGCCCCTGGGTTCAATATCCTGAACCAAAAAAAAAATAAAACCTCTGCAAAAAGGCAAAAGGCACCAGGATTTACAACTATAGAGCCTAATACCCAATGCAAAACAGTATGTGTGAGATCACAAACCATGAGGCAAGTCAACATCTTGTTAGCGTGAAACAAACCTTAAGAGTCTGAAGTAATACATCAAACAGAAGGGCATACAATTTAAAGAGACAATGCTTTTCAAAGTGAAAGAATCATAAAGTGTTAGTAAATCCTATAAGCCATGCAATGTATTTTTTCAGTGATGTCAGTGAAAAATCTTGAGAAAATAAAAAATAAAACAAGTTCAAGAAAAGAAAACAACCAAGACAGAGACAAACTACATGATTCTGCTTACATAAAATCATAAAATTCTAGAAATATGTAATCTACCTGAAGTAACCAAAAGCAGGTCAGTGGTTGCCTGTGACAGAATGCAGGGAAAAACAAGAAGGAGGGATTACAAATACGCATAAGGAGACCTTTCATTCTGCAGATAGTTTCGCTGAGCACAGGTCAAAACTCAACTGTACACTCTACATACAGTGTGGGCTGAGGGTGTAACTCTGTGGTATAGGACTTGCCTAGCATGCACAAGGCCCGGGGTTGGACCTCCAGCATCCCCTCCAAAACAAAAACAAAACCCAGTACATATAGTGGTCAGTATTCCAAAGCATTAAAAAAATAAATAAAATTCCACAAATAAGAAGAATATAAGAATGATGGGCAACAGTGAGACAGGGGCTGAGGGAGGGGTAAGAAAACAGAGAGAAGGGAAAGAATAACAACCTGTAGTGGTGGTGATGTTCTTTACATTATCAGACTTTAAGACTTATCAGGATGCTACAGTGATCAACAGAGAGTGGCACAGGCATAAAGATCAGCAAACATGTCACTGGAAAAGAACACAGCACCCAGAATGAAGCCACACTTACACAACTGTCTGATTTTTTATAAAGATGCCACAATCATACAAAGGGAAAAATACTTTCAGTAAATGGTAAACTGGACATCCATAAGAAAATCAGCAAACTATAACCCCTACTCTGCATCATACAAAAATACTGAATCGAATTTTTAGAAACTCTTAGTTTTTTATAAAAGATAAACTATAAACTTTTAAAAGATGATATAAGGGGAGAGTTTTACAATTTACTCTTTGAGTATTTGGAGGTGGAATGGTGGGAGGATATCATTAGGTGTATGTTTAATTCTCAAAAAACTACCAAATGGTTTTCCAACTGGTTATACTATTTTAAATTCCCAGACAAGTCACAGAAAATGATAAGCCAACATACTGGAGAGCCTGGAGTGGTGGCATACATCTATAGTTCCAGAACTCTGGAAGCTGAAGTGCAAGGATCATTTAAGCCTAGGAGTTTGAGACCAGCATGGGCAACAGAATAATACCACATCTCAAAAAGACCCAAACAAACCAACAAACAAACTGGCAAATTGGGATCTATCAAAACTAAAAGATTTTATGATCAAAAGACATTTAGGGCCAGGCACAGTGGAGCACAACTGTAATCCAAGCAGCTTAGGAGGCTGAGGCAGGAGGATAAAGAGTTCAAAGCCAGCCTCAGCAAAAGCAAGGAGCTAAACAACTCAGTGAGAACTTGTCTCAAAATTTTAAAAATACAAAATAGGGCTGAAGATGTGGCTCAGTGGTGGAGTGCCCCTCAGTTCAATCCCCAGTAATACCCCCCCCCCCGAAAAAAATAGTCTATTTACTCTGTTGACATCTGCACTGTAGGTGAAAAGCATGGTAAAGCTGGCCACAGCCTTAGAAATAATTAAGGCAGTGGCACAAAACTGTTGTACTCAGAGGGAGCCAGTTTCACTTCTGAATCTCCTTGATGAAGTACAAGTTGAAAAACCCTTATTTAAATGCTTGGAAGTGTTTTGGATTTCAGATTTTTTTGAATTCTGGAATATTTGCACATACAAAACAAGGTACCTTGGGGATGGAACCCAAATTTAAACACAAAGGTTCATGTATGTTTTATACACACTTCACACATAGAGCCTGAAGGTAATTTTATATGATGTTTTGGTGTGCCTATGCTTTGAAAATTCCACTGAGGTCAGGTGTGGAATTTTCCTCTTGTGGCATAATGTCTGCCCTCAAAAAGTGGATTCTGTTAGGATTTCAGGATTAAGAATGCTCAACCTACAGCAAAATTTTAATTTTACTAAGTATTAATCCTTGACATTTTTTCACATCCTATATGACAAAACAAAGTATACATAAATAATTTTTCCTTTTTACCAAAGTATGATGGTTATCTGGTGGAAAAGCAACCAAACAATCAAGCTGTAAACTAAATCAGTGTTCTTCTTCATGGAATACCATTTTTTCATACATAAATACTGACAAACTATAATTATCCAGACTTGAATATTTGTCAGACAACTTCCCCAAACTGAGCACCATGAGACCATCACTTCAAAAAAAGAACTAGTAGTATTTGTTGGCTATGATGAAATTCCAGCTTTCAAGTGAAAATTAAAAGTGTGGAGTACTTGAGCCTACCATCATGAGCTTGATGGTTTCCTAAGGCTTCAAGAAACCACATTAGATCAGCAGATATTAAATAATACAACTTTTATGTTGTGTAATGAAATCTGTCCAGTCTCTCAATTTTACTTTTAATTTGGTAAATACTAATAGATATGATACATCAACAAAAGCTGGGGTCCTCAATAACTTAAAGAGTATGAAGAGGTCCTGAGACTAAAAGCTTTGAAAACTGGTGACCTAAATCACTGTTATGCAATAAAGGAAAGGAGAACAGTTTAAGGAGGTTCCTAAATCAGGTTGTTCTTTCTCCTTTTTTTTTAGTACCTCTCCAAAAAAGTCTTAGCTTTCCATCCCATGAAGAGCAGACCCATAAACTCTGTATGTGTTGGGGAAGAGGAAAGACGGGGAAACAAAAAGACTGAGTTTAACAAGAAGGAACGCTGAAGACGGGATCTGAGACCGTCCTTCCTGTTCAGCTGGGCACAAACCCTTAAACGACACAAGTCACCCCTCGGGACTGAGGTAGATCCGGAGAGTGTCGACAGGTGGGTGGGTCAGCGCGAGTTGTTGACCTAAGTAAACTGCCAGGGGGAAAGTTGCAAGAAACAAAACAACAACAACAAAAACACCTTGGGTTTTCCTGCAATTCTCACACTTCCCTCCGTGAAGATCCCCAGAGAGGGACCGAAGGACGGATCTAGAAAGGGCCTCCGGGACAGAGGCAGGACTGTCGCCGAGCCCCACGTCGGCCCTAAATGCTCTCACCCCGGCATCCCCCGACACACAAACACACCACTCTTCGACCCTCAGCCCCCACAACCACAAGGACCCTTACCACCAACAGGTTTCTCTCTTCCACCAGCTGCCGCTTCCGGGAAATCTCTGATCTCAAAATGTCCATCTCGCTGCACGGGGTTAAGCTCCAGATCCCCTCTCCACCTCCTGGGAACTAACCTCAACCAGCCCGCCGCCGTACACTCACTACAAACCAACCAAACTACCGGAGGACAACTGACGGGATCGGCTTCCGGCGGAAGCTGAAACGAGAGAGAGGAGGGTAAAAGCGCCGGAGATGCTTGTTAGTGAAGCGGCTTTGGAACAGCGCCGCCTGGCGGCACCCTCCAGAAACGCGCTCGCAGTCCCCGCTGTGAAAATGGACTGAAAACCAAGCCTTCTGTAGAGTGAGGAGGTAGTGGGCGACGTCTTGTACGTTTGTACCTGCTGGTTAGGTCCAAAAGCCTACTTACTAGAACACATCAGTTTTGTTAAGGTGCGATCTCTACTAGAAGTTCTCATTAGAGTTCCCCAAGTTACTGGCTTGCCAAGGTTAATGTACTAGATACGGAATGAGAAAAACTTGAATTATACTAGCTTGTAGGTGTTGAGTTAAAGGGCGGTGAAATGTCCTGTGGAGTTAAACAGCTTCATCCACCAAAGGTATTCCTCTACTCCCTCAACTTTACATTGCATAAGTAGCTTGATAATATTATTCAACATCTACCTTAAGCTAACAGATCATCTTTTTTCTGTCATGCATTCAGCAATGAAGATTTTTTTTGTCTTTTTTCCCACATTTTTATTGGCTCATTATAACATAACGATGGGATTTTGTTGTTACATATTCGTATGTGCACACACTATTACAATATAATTTATCCACTATCACCTCCCAGCGCTTACCCCCTCCCTCAATACTATCCACGCCCCGGTCTCTTTCCTCTACTGCTCGCCCTTTGACTTTCATGTGATCTGCCCCCACCTTTTTTTCCTTTTTCCTCTCTAGCTTTTGCACATGAGAGAAAACATATAACCCTTGACCTTCTGAATTAGACTTATTTCACTTACTATAATGGTCTCTAGTTCCATCCATTTTCCTGCAAATGACATGATTTTATTTTTCTTTATGGTTGAATTAAACTCTATTGTGTAAATATACCACATTTTCTTTATTCATTCATCTATTCATGGACATCTAGGCTGGTTCCATAGTTTGGATACTGTGAATTGTGCTGCTTGCTATAAACGTGGGTATGCATCAAATATGGAGGAGTGGTACAGTTGGGTCATATGGTGGTACCATACCTAGGCTTTTTAAAATTATTTTTTAGTTGTAGTTGGAAACAATGCCTTTATTTTTCATGTGGTACTGAGGATCTGACCCAGAGTCACGCATGAGCTAGATAAGGTCTGTACTGCTGAGCCACAACCCCAGCCCCTAGTCTTTCGCTGAATCTTCATGCTGATTTACATACTGTTTGTACTCATTTATGGTGCCACCAGCAGTGTAAAAGTGTTCTTTTCTCTCCATATTTTCTCCAGCATTCATTATTGCTTGTATTCTTGATGATTGCCACTCAGACTGGAGTGAGATGAAATCTCAGTGTAGTTTTAATTTGCATTATTGTTAATAATGTTGAACTTTTTTTCCGTATATTTGTTGTGAATTTATATTTCCTCTTTAAGAAGTGTCTGTTCATTTCCCTATTTATTTATTGGGTTATTTGATTTTTTGGTGTAAAGTGTTTTGAGTTCTTTATATATTCTGAATATTAATCTTCTGTCACAAGAGTTGCTAGCAAAGATTTTCTCTGATTCTTATAAATTCTCTTGTCACATTCCTAATTGTTTCCTTTGATATGCATAAGCTTTTTACTTTGATTAAATTAACTTTTTAATTAACTCTTGGCATTATTTTCTGAGTTTTAGGAGTTTTACTGAGAAAGTCTTTGCCTGTGCCTATATGCTGGATTGTTGACCTTACATTTGCTTCTAGAAGTACCATAGTTTCCAGTCTAATTCCTAGGTCTTTGATCCATTTTAAGTTGATTTTTGTGCAGGTTACATTAGGGTCTAGTTTCATTCTTCGACATAAGGCTAACTAGTGTTTCGAGCACCATTTATTAAAAGGCTGTCTTTAAAAAAAAAATTAAAAGGGGCTGGAGATGTGGCTCAAGCCATAGTGCGCTCGCCTGGCATGCGCGGGGCGCTGGGTTCGATCCTCAGCACCACATAAAAATAAAATAGATGTTGTGTCCACGGAAAACTAAATATTAAAAAATTCTCTCTCTCTCTCTAAAAAAAATTAAAAGGCTGTCTTTTCTCCAAGATATGCTTTTGGAAACTTTCTTAAGGATCAGAACACTGTGGATGTGTGGGCTTATCTCAGTGACTTCTATTCTATACCATTGGGCTGGTCTGTTGTTATGCCAGTACTATGCAGTTTTTGTTACTATAGTTCTGTAATATAATTTGAAGTCAGGTATTGTGATACCTCCAGCATTGCTTTTTGATTTAGATTTGCTTTGGCTACTCTGGGTCTTTTATTCTTCAAAATAAATTTTAGGACTTTTTTTTTTGCTAGTTCTATGAAGAATGACATTTGACATTTGTGTTTTGATAGGGATTGAATTAAATCTGTATATTGCTTTTGGTAGTATGGCCATTTTAACAATATTAATTCTGCCTATGTATGAACATGGGAGGTAATTCCATCTTCTTGTGTCTTCTTCAGTTTCTTTCTTCACTGTTTACAGTTTTCATTGGAGAGGCCTTTCACCTCCTTATTCAGATTTATTCATATATATATATATATATATATATATATATATATATATATATATATATATTTTTTTTTAATTTTTTAGTTGTAGTTGTACATAATACCTTTATTTTATTTATTTTTATGTGGTGCTGAGAATTGAACCCAGGGCCTCGCACATGCTAGGCAAGGGCTCTACAGCTGAACAACAACTTCAGCCCCTCCGAGATATATTTTTTGAGGTTATTGTGAATACAATTGTTTTCCTGATTTCTTTTTCAGCAGAATCAATATTGGTATATAGGAAAGATGCTGATTTTTGTATGCTGATTTTGTAACCTGATACTTTGACAAATTTGTTTATTAGCTCTAGCAGTCTTTTGGTAGAGTTTTTTGGATCTTCTAAGTATAGGATCATATCATCTGCAGACAGTGATAATTTGATTTCTTCCTTTTCTATTTTTATCCCTTTTATTTCCTTCTCTTGACAAATTACTCTGGCTAGAATTTCTAGCACTATATTAAATAGGAGTGGTGAGAATGGACAGCCTTGTCTTGTTAAAGGAAATGCTTTCATTTTCCCCCACTTACTATGAAGTTGGCTCTGGGTTTTTCATATATAGCTTTTATGATGTTAAAGTAGGTTCCTTCTATTCCTAGTTTCTTCAGTGCTTTTATCATGAATGGGTGCTGAATTTTGTCAAAGACCTTCTCTGCATCTATTGAGATGACTAAGTGATTTTGTCCTTAACTCTATTTATGTGATCAATTACATTTATTGATTTGCAAATGATAAAACATCCTTGCATCTCTGGAATAAAACCAACTTGGTAAAGATGTACAATCTTCTTAATATGTTGTTGAATATGATTTATTAATATTTTGTTAAATATTTTTGCATCTGAGTTCATCAGGGATATTGGTCTTTAGTTCTCTTTCCTTGATGTGTCCTCATCTGGTTTTGTTATGAGTGTGATACTACTGGCTTCATAGGATGAATTTGGAAGTGTCCCATCCCTTTCCACTTGATGGAATAATTCGAGGAGTACTGGCAATAGTTCTTCTCTAAAGGTCTGGTAGAATTCGGCTAAGAATCCAACTGGCCCTGGGCTTTTCTTTATTGAGAGGCTTTTTATTACTGCTTCTGTCTCATTACAAGTTATTGATCTATGTAGGTTTTCTATGTCCTCTTGATTCAATTTTGGCAGATCATGTCTCTAGAAATGAATGCATTTCTTCTAAGTTTTCCAGTTTATTGGAGAATAGGTTTTCAAAATAGTCCCCAACGATCTACTGGATTTCTGTGATGTCTGTAGTGATTTCTCCTTTTTCATCTCAATTTTATTAATTTGAGTCTTCTTTTTCTCTTGGTTAGTTTGGCTAAAGGATATTGTTCTTCTTTTCAAAGAGACAGCTCATTGTTTCATTGACCCTTTGTATTGTGTTTTTATTCTCAAGTTCATTGATTTCAGCTCTGATCTTCCTTCCTTCCTTCTACTGGCTTTGCAAATGGTTTGTTCCTCTTTTAAAGGGCTTTGACATGCTTATTAGGTTTTTTAAGGAGGATTCAGATTTTATGTAGGCACTTACAGCTGTAGACATTACTCTTAGAACTGCCTTCATGGTGTTCCAGAGGTTCTGGTATGTTGTGTCACTGTTCTCATTTGAGTCTAGGAATTCTTCAATTTCTCCCTCAATTTACTTTCTCATCCATTCATAATTCAGATGTGTATTGTTCAATCTCTCTGCATTTATATAGTTTCTGTAGTGTTTTATTGTGTTGATTTCTAATGTCCTTCCATTATTATCTAAGATACAAGGAATTATGTCAAATAAGATTTTCAATAACATGATCAGATATGTAGTCAGAAAAAAGTTAAGTCCAATTCAAGAATAAAAATTAAATTGGGGAGGAAAAAATACATGTCAGAGATTTTGTTTTCATTTTTATTTTGAGGCAGAGTCTCACTATGTTGCCTAGACTGGTCTTGAACTCCTGAGCTCAAGCAGTTCTCCCACCTCAGTCTTCTGAGGTCTGGGACTGCAGTGTGTTGGACAGTTTTTATTTTTAACCTAAAAACCATTTATAATGAATTTATTTTTGGTTTTATGCCATGAAAGTTTTTCTTTAAATTTTAAGACCTAGCACAGTGGCGCACACCTGTAATCCCAGTGACTTGGGAGGCTGAGGCAGGAGGATCTCAAGTTCAAAGCCAGCCACAGCAACTCAGTGAGGCCCTAACCAACTCAGTGAGACCCTGTCTCAAAATAAAAATAAAAAAGGGCTGGGGGAAAAATTAAAAAGGACTGGGGTTGTAGCCCAGTGGTTAAACCCCTTGGGGGAATCCCCAGTAACAATAAAACTTTTTTAATTGTCATAATTGAACAATATTTGACATGCTAGTTTTCCCCATTCTAAAATAAAGGAAATATTATTCTGTTCAGTCAA